GGCAATGCACCTGTGACCTGACCTGATGATTCCGAAGGGTAGGGTCCTAACTCTTCAACTGAATAAACCCACTCATCCTCCCAGAACCCGTGGTCAACGCACTCCTCCTGAGCACAGATATTTGCTTGAGGTACGAGGTTAGAACTGGCGGGTCCACCACGGTGTTCACCATCATCACTGGGTCTTGCATTGGGGTCCCTAGGTGTTTTAGGAAGTTCTCTCACACCTAAGCCTTCAATTGGAGGCCCACCCAACCAATTTGGGTCAAGAGTTCTATTCTGAATCACACGAGGAATAAACATGTGTTCTCGGCTTAGCAACCTGACCTCACCTGTCTGGAGGCCACTTACATTCGGGTTATCTGGCCTTCTGGTGCCCTCAGGATGGATCCCGAAAAGAATCCGTTGGGCATGAATCCTCGGCATTCCCATCTCGATGAGGTCCTCCTCGTAAAGGTACTGAAGATCTTCAGGATCATCAACACCGAGAAAGCTCAGGCGCCCAAGCTCACAATGCACTCCTCTTTCATCAAGAAACATACCTAAATCACTATTCCTAAGGCTGTCAACCGGAAACTCTGCAGGGTCGCCACGAGAGAAATCCCATCCGACAAGGGTTGTCGACAAATCCGGTTGCAAATCTTCCTCCAAAGGAGGCGACACAGGTATCGAAGATGCTGTACCTCCGTCCCCGTTCACACACTGGGTGTCCTCTGAATTTTCATGCTCATCATCGAACTCAAGCATAGCAACCCTAGGTGACCCATGGAGAACCTCTGGTATACGGAAACCTTGGGCGTCAAGAAAGCTTCTAGCATCATCAGATAGCTTTTGGGTTCCTAGAGGGGTATAACCAACCAACACCCACTCCGACTGCTTCCTTACTGCATGAGGTTTGCGCGGATCAAAGGTGACTGTGTTACCAGTGATCACAGTGACACTTGAGTCCTTCCAATCTGGCTCTCCAACGACTTTCACCCTCCTAGATTCCTCGAACTCTCTATCTGTCCAAAGTAACAGGCTTCCGGGGATGCATAGCACGTGGTTCTTAGAACCCCATTCATTCCTGTAGTCACGGTGGACAGGAACATCACCGGATCTCATTAACATCAGCGATGCCCATCTAGGTTTCAACGTGCTATCCCCATTGCTCAAACCCCTTTCAAGCACACGGTTGAGGAACTGAGCAGTGTGCGGTCTCCGGTAAGTGAGCTTCGTGACACCTCGCTTGCCACCATGGCAATAGGCACCAAAAACCAGCCTATCCTGTAAGTCGCCCCTTCTATCCTGAGTGCCACCTTCCTCAGTCAGCAACAAATCCATTAGACGGTGGAATGCGGCATGCGTGTATTCACAGCCTACAATACACTCCTTGGCATATGACTCGGCAGAGGCTTCAATGGCGACTTCAATAAACCTGACCGCAGTCTTCTCCCTCAGCCTCCTCTGGGGTACTCCTCCTGATTCTTCAGGAATCTCCTCTTCTATAACATCATCAACCGCCTCAAGGTCTGGTAACTTGAGCTCATCATACTCAAGTGGGTCAACTACCTTGTCACGGAAACCCCTAGAGGCTACTAAGTTCCCAGCATCAGTTATCAACACGTGACCCTCTGGAATGGAGGAGCGCGGTGCCGCATACCGGTACTTTACCCATCTTCCGAGAATTTGACGATCAGCATCCTTGGGAGTCTTTGTGCGATGAAGCACAGGGTTTCCAAAACTAGGAAGCGGGGGCTCACCTTCAATGGATCTATTGCGAGCCTGTGCCGCCCATCTAGCCGCCAATGGCCACCAGTGTATCGGCAATGATGCAGCCTTAAGAAGAGTGCGCACCCTACTTTTAACCCATCCAACCATACGCTCCGCTAAACCGTTCCCCTTCTTGTCGGTAGGAAGGGTGTGCTGCACCCTTATACTCTGCGATGCCGCCCACTGGGACAGAGCATATGACGAAAATTCGGTTCCGGGATCACTATGAAGAATTCTCACCGGGAACCTTTTATTGATGTCTAAGACCATCTTTTGCAAACCCTCCAGGACATCCTGACCGGTTTTGGATTTCAAGGGAACAAAGTATCTCAGGACAGTCTGATCAACAGGTGACCTTAGGTCCCGAATAACTTCTTGAAAGGCCTCAGGGTCATCGGGAACTGTTTGTGGAGCAAGCATAGACTCCGGGTCACACGGTTCAACACCCTGAGTCCTGGCATCTTGAGGCTCAACGAAAGGCTCCTCTTTATCCAAAGCCGGAAGGCCTCGAAGCTCATCATTCAAAGGCTCACCCGGGTCTGAAGGTTCGTACTCTCCAAAGTCCTCAACAAACTCCGGCCCAATTCCAGATTCAAACTCCTCCTGAGCGTTAGTGCCATCTGGGCGTCGACTAGCAACGAAATCCTTTACACCTTCGAAGAGGTCTTCAGCACCTGCTTCTCTGGAAGCTGCCCTTGAGTGCTGAAGTGTGCTCCTGGGCACCCGAAAGGCACCGACTAACCCGTACTTTATGTTATTCTTTCCAGAGATACAGGTTTCATCTCTTCCATGCTCATGCTTCGGTACTGGTCCGAAGAGGTCAATCGAAAGTGCAAACGACTGGGGATAGGCGACGCGCCGGTGCTGGATACCTATGCCTGCGCCCTCCACGCAAAGTCTACAATCCCTCCTATAAGGGACGTGTCCGTCCTGGAGATGCCTTTTCCAGGCCTCGACCTCCCTCTGGGTGAACTGACGTTTCGGGGACGCTGCAGGGGTAGCCTCAGGCTCGGGCTGTACACCTTCCCCAGGGTCAGGTAGTTGCTTCTCCCCGTGCGGGCGATCTATATCAACTACCTCACCACCACCACCAGTGTCTGCCTTTAAACCAGATCTAAGGGCACTCGCTATCACCTTTTCAAGTTCTTCACAACTGGGTCCAACATAGCGACCTTCCAGTGCACCTACAAGCGCGGATCGGAATTCACTGCTCCAATGCGAGCCTGTGCGAAGTCTTCCACTCCTCCTCAGAAGAGGCATTGTCTGGAGATGGGACAAGTTTACATTCGTACAAATGCAGGTGGACCGGGAGTAGCACGGATCAACGACTCCCTGATCAATATAAAGGAGCGAAGCATTGGCCCATCCTGCAAAACTCTCATACACCAACTTCAAGTGTTGAGGGACCTCAAACACAAACGGAATTCCTCTTCCTTTTGCAACTGAGGCAAGGGACCATAGGAATAGTGGTTGCAAACCTAACTGAGACATCGACTCGCTCAATCTAGGGTTCGGCGACGAAAAAACAGAGACGATCCGGCCGGTAGCAGCTGCCCACAGCAGCGCTCTCCAGACACCGCAGGTCTTAGTTAGATCCCATCCCTTTCCTCCCTTGGCTAGGAGATCAACTTCAAGCAACTGCATATCACGAGCCTCACACCAAGCCTTTAACGGGTTTTCACCTTTATCAGCTCCAGAGCATAGGTGCACAACCCATCTCTCAGAGGCAAGGAGGGCTCTACGGTGAGCCCGATTCACCGGCAGCTGCTTCAGCATATTCTTCCCCGACTCATCATCCAACCCAACCAAGCTCTCTGCTAGCCTCAATCTCATTGACTCCTCAACGCCATCAAGATATGGTTGGGCAAGCACTGAACGGATAGCCTCGGAACGGCCCCCAGAGGTCGCATACCTCCTCAAGGCCTCAGTAGGATCAACGGGGGCGCATATAGATTCCATCTGAACCTCGAGTTCCTCGACCTGATCCTTGAACTCGTTAAGACGCTTATCCTCTAGTTGGGAGATGAGAGACAGAGCCTGGTCCTCCTGGATAAAAGGGCACGTGTTGCGGCTCACCCCCGTTCTCAACAGTCCAAGCTGGGGATGGGTGACCTTCAAACCGCCTCTCTTGCTCCAACTCACTGAGCAACCCAAGTTCTCAACAAGAGCTCCTAGCGGTATGATCGTCTGCGGCTTAATGGAAGAAGTAGGGCCCGCAGGAGGAACGACAAGCGTGCCACCCCTAGTGCGGTACCATTCTTCTTTGGAATCACCGGCGAGGGTCACCGGAACACGCTGCAATCCCGACATACCCTTTGCGAAAGGCACAACCGGGTGAGTGGCACCGCTATCCAAAAGTGCCACCGCGGACACACTGCAATGCACCTCATCAAACCTCATCATCCTTGCCTCGTAGTCCCTTGTCATAGATCTCAACGAATCCAACTGGGCACTCAGTGATGCTAGAGTAACTGGCGTTCCTGGAGTAACCTCTCCGGGCGCAACATTAGCGGTGCTGGCAACCTGGTTGTTAGCTGCCTGCCCTACCTGATCACCTGACCCCTGGGTCCTAGGAGGCATTGCTTGCTGAAGGATCATCGCTGCATCTGCAAGCATTGACTTTATCTGCTGCTGCGAGTCCTGCTGCGCTGGCGGAGGAGGAGGGGAAACCTGTGCCGTCGCTACCTCAGCAGGTGGCTTAGGGGTAGGCTTAGGTGCTCCCTTACCCTTCCCCTTAGGCTCGCCTTCTTTCATACCCGCCTTGCATTCGGACGACTTATGTCCCCTTGCCCCACAACTTTTGCACCTACCTTTACGGTCCTCAAATGGTATCGAAGACCAGTTATGCTCAAAGTTGCAATCTACGCCCTTCTTACACCCGGTCGGGGATACGTAAAAGGTGCAAGGTGGCCTACCCTGAACCGCTCCTTCAGCTGAAGCCGTCTTCACCGGCGGAGGTGGCTTCGGAGGTTGCTTAGGTGCCTTCGGAGGTTTAGGTGCCGTAGCTTGTGGCTCCTGAGCCTCAACTCCCTTCACCTTGGCCTGTGGAGGAGGGCTTGGCACGGACTGAGGGCGCTCTTGGTCCTTGGCAGCAGGGGTTCTATGCCCTATCATCTCAAACTCCCTCAACAACTGGGCATGGAGCTTCTGAATCTTATCTTGATCAGGATTCACATCTACCTGCAAGTTGTGGCGCACCAGGTTCACCCTGAAAGAAATATCGGGATGACCCTGAAGGGCATTCTTAGTGAGCTTTGTCAACGCCTTTACTTGAAGTGCTGCATCTGGGAGGGTACCTCCCAACTCAGACATCCTCACACACCACCTCTTCCATTTGCGTAGACCCTCTATTGTCTCGGGTACACCTGTGCAACTTGGTGGATCTTGAATATGTCGAAGTCCAAGTTCCCGCTCTGAGACACCACCTGGAGCGTACACAACATAAAGTCTGCACACCAGGGCGAGGAGCCCGCTCACGCGGGACGCGCTAACTTCCTGTCTCACCCCTGAAGGCAAGGCTGCCAAAATCATCGTCTCTATCCTCCTTGACACCCTGGCCCAACGGGGCCGGCGAAGGTATTCCGAAGGCTCTGGCTTAGACACCAACCTGCTCAGCGGGTCCAACTTCAGATAGTTGCTGTACCACACTCCCGCTTCCGAAAGAATTCCCTCCCACAACTCCTCACTGGTATCCGAGACATCCGACAGAGGAGGCCGCGAGTTATGAATCCAATCCGAAAACAATAAGCAACTCTCAGGGCCTGGAAGGGGTAATTCAGGGAGATTGGTGACCCCGGGTTTGATAGCCTCTGGCCTTTCACCCTGCTTCGGAGATGCTGAAAGCTCCGTCACTACATCCTGCAACTGAGCCATACCCTTCAACACCACATTCATCACATCATCTTGCTGAGGCTGCAGAGCTCGGACCTCGGTTTCAGTGGGCCAATCCCCTTCAGGATTCACAGTCGAACCAATCACCTGAGTCTGGCTAGGCGAACCAATCCATTCAGGCTGCCGAAGGGACTCACCAGCCCCAAAATCATGTACCCCGGTGGCAACATGTTCAAACACGTCCATCCCATCAGCAGGGTGTTGAGGTTGCGGAGGCAGGGGAACACTAGGCTTGGGAAGTGGAGGCATCACACCTCCACTGGAGCCATCAGTTCGACTTGCAGGTAAAGGAGGACGTGATAGTGGGGGCAAAGGAACTGCCACCTCATTGGGAGGAGAAATCCACGAAGTCCAGCGGCGAGAGGCTGGGAGAGCCTGTTGGGCTTGCACCTCCTGACCCAAATCCAAGGTCCTCGAAGGGGCTGAGTTTGCACCTCCGATTATCGAACCAAGACCACGGCCTAACCATCCAAAGCTAGGAAACCCACCCTGATTCCCCAACCACTGACGCGGTCCACCAAACCTATCCTGTACACTCTCCTGCTGATTCTGTACACGAAGTTCATAGTTCTCAGCAACAAGAGACTCTACTTGAGACCTCAGTCTCCTCGACTCTTCCTCATACACTGCAACAACATCACCCAGTTGTCGGCGCACCTCGGCCTGGATGTCACTCGATGTCGTTGACGGGGGTCTAGGTCGATACTCCAAAGGGCTCGAGCCCAGCAGTTGCGGTGCAGCTGCGTGGAGATGCTGCAACCTCTCCATCGTATGCAAGTCGAAGAGAGGGGTACCAGGCACTTGCGACTCCGAGGGGATCCTGGGCTGTTGGTCACGCCTCGTAAATGAGGACGCCACCGAAGCATACTCAACGCTGTCTCCAGATCTAGGCTGCCTCTGCGCAGTTGCATAAGGTTCCGCTGGCTCCGAACTCGAACCTCTCTGGTAGGACAAAGCAGGACCCTGACCCTGCAACGGTCGACTGGGCCCTGGCTCACTTGTCACACCACCGCTCTGTGCCAGTGGTGCTGCTACACCACCAGTCTGTTCCAGTGGCGCACGAAGAAAATCACTCGCTGTCATAGGGACCTCCGGGGAGCCATCAGCTCTCCCTGTTCGCTCCCTTTCCACATCCACTGTAGCCATCCGCTCTGGTACCGAAGGAACACGGGTAGGCGCCGTCATAGATCGGGAACTCGTGACCTCACCGTCCAAGTCGAGATGTCCACCCAAAGGAGGGTCCACACCAATTACAACAGGAGGAGGGTTCACCGCCCTTCTCTCACTTGAATCTCTGGCAACGTTTGGGCGATTCATAACCTGTTGATCCCCATCATCATATTGATTGGGGTTCATGTTCTTCACGAGGGCTGATCTTCACGAATGCACTCAGTCACTCAGAGGCGGCGTGTTTCCATAGCCCTAAGGAATCTCGAATTTTTCACTCAGCCACAGCATGTGATGACGCTCTCAGAACTATCCTACATGCTTCGGATTAGCTGGCCTATTCCGGCTAGCTTGAAGGCTTCTGCCTTATCATGCAAACATGTTCATGGAGCTCAGCTCCGCTGATCAGGCTCAGAGCCTAAAATGTTCACGAGGAGGAATTCAACTACCGCTAGGCAAGATAGGAATTCTGCAGGCTTCTATAAGGCTTCTATAAGGTATATAGACCTTCTATACGGCTCCTACAACGGTAACTACCCGCCTGAAAATGCCCTAGACTTAGGGCTCAGAGGCTTTGGGGTTAAGGGGCTGGGGTTTAGGCTTTAGGGTTACGGGTTCAGGGTTTGGGTGTTGGGGTTTAGCCCGAGTTGGTCAGGGGATAGCGGGGTTTACAATGATTCAGGAAGGTCTTTATAAGAACTCTACGAGAGATGTGCATGACCTTAAAAAGGTGAATAGGGTTGTAGAGGTGCTCTTTTTGCATTCCATGAGGGTACGCCCCTACTCATTCCGAAGTCAAGACACCTAAGCTCTGAGTCGCCCTAAACCCTAAACTTTAAACCCTAAACCCTAGACCCGAATCTCTACGAACCCCAGATCCACAACCTCAACCCAAAAAAAAAAGAACCGCCCTGCAATTGTTTAGGGCCAAAGTTTAGGGTTTAGGGCTTAGGGTTTAAAAGCACTCATGCTCTCAACACCCAGAGAGGCAGCCTTGCTGTTTCGGCACTACGAGCCGCTTCGAGCCTACGATTCCGCATAAACCCTCAACCCTAAACCGGGATCCTTGCAAGATCCTTGTGACTCCTACTATAGGGCCCTTGCTAACAGTCTTGGTGCATGTTATAGTATACTTAACATGAAGAGCCCTAGGAATAGAATACTATTGGTAATTCTTCCGGCCTCCGTAAGCCCTAAACCCCTACACCACTAAACACCTAAACCTAAGGAATAACATTGGCAATTTCTCCCCTAAACCCTAAACCCTAAACCCCTAAACTCTAAACCCCTAAACCCCTAAACCCAAAACCCTAAACCCTAAACCGAACTCCTGCCTGTATTTTCCCGATATCCCTTCAAAAACCCTTGGCCCGGGCTCAGGCAGCACAAGGCCGCACCCACCACCTCACCGATCAGCTCGCCGATGCATGGGAGCACCTACCATGCATTTTAGAACTTAGGGTTTGGGGTTTAGGGTATATAGGGCTTCCATAAGGCTTCCATAACGTGTATAAACCTTCTATAAAGCTCCTATAACGGTAACTACCCACCTGACAATGTCCTAGATACTTGGGGTGTCGGGTTTCGGTTTGGGGTCTTCAACTCTCTGTCTTAACTAGCAGAATGCGACTTGAAGAGGTCAATTATGCACATCTTTTCTGGCACTACAAGGAGCTACTGGTAGTAGGTAGCGCTGGTAAACCCTAAACCCTAAACCCTAAACGGACCTCTATTATATAGTCTATATTGGAAAGTTCAACCTTCCACCCAAAGGCCATTTAACGTAAGCCGGGGTTTCCGGGTTGAGTCAGGGGCCCTAAACACGCGAATCCTTTTGGCTAACTCACAAACTTAGGCTTTCCGGGTCAGGGATTAGGGTTTAGGGTTCAAGGTTCAGGGTTTAGGGCTCAGGGTTTAGGGTTTAGGGTTTGGGTTCAGGGATCAGGGTTCAGGGCTTAGGGTTTCGCCCATCCGGGTTTGAGGCCTTTAGCTTTCCTGCCAGCACAAACCACGGAAACCCCTTAACACGCCCGAAAAAAGCTTGTAAAGCTATACTCTACAAAGGCTTGTATTTAAAAAAACGAAGCTATGAGGCCCTGTCCCAGACCCCCAGGAGGATCCAAAAAGTCAATCCCCTAATTTGGGAACCTAACCACTACCGGGTACTTCATAGGAACCCCCTTTAAGGGATCTACTTCCAAAACCCTAAAACGCCCCATAAACCCTAAACATCCTTAGATCCTTCTTAGGAGCCCTTAAAGGGACCCTTAAAGGAACCCCCCCTTTTAGGGTTTAGGGTCCCTGCCTTTTTGGATCCTCCCGAAAAAGGTGGGAGCCGAGGGCTTGCTGGAGCCCGTTGTCCCCAGAGAGCCCAATACCCCTTAATTAAGGAATATATACCCTAACTTCTAGGGTCCCTTAAAGGGATCTATAAGGGTCTCTATAAGTGTTCTATAAGGGAATTAAGGAATAGAACCCTTAAGTCAAAATCTTAAGGCCCCTATAATCTAAGGTATATTCCTTATTTCCAAATACCCCTTAATTGAGGAATATACCTCAAGTCACAATTTTAAGGCCCCTATAGTTTAAGGGTATATTCCTTACTTGAAGGGGTATTGGGCTCTCTGGGTCCCGCCTGGGGCATCAGCGCGATGGGCCCCGTGACCAGCTGGAGACCCAAGAGCATCACCACGAAGCCCACAAGACGCAGGATCATGACCTGCTTCGGTGTAGGGTTGAGGGTTTTTTGGGGTTGTTGTGCTTCGGTTTCGGGTTTTTCGGGTTTTAAGGTTTTTGGGGTCTCGGGTTTCAGAAGGCCCCTCGAATGGTTTGTAAGGGTTGGCTGAGGTTGATGGTGTTGTGGCCTGCTGAGGGTTTAGGGTTTAGGGTTTAGTGGGTGCTATGATTCCTTAGTTATGGGGTCTAACCCTGATCCCCATGTTCAACTCAGCACTCGTTTGACAAACACTTTTCTGGGAGGCGCCTCAGGCCCTGTGTAACGGCTTAGTCTTCTTGGTTTTTGGGGGCTTGGCTTAAGAAAAGTAGATCCCGTAATTTGGGACCCTACCTACTAAAGGGCACTTTATCGGAACCCCGTTAAGGGATCTTCTTTTTGGATCCTCCCGGTGGGTCTGGCTTGAGATCCTCCAGCACTGCTTGACATTTCTTTGCAAGGAAGTTTCTAGAGGTTTCTCAAGGGTTTAGGGGTGCGCATGGATGACACAGTATACATGGAGCTTCATGGGTAGTTCTAACTATATTCGTTATAACCCATATTAGGGGACCCTAAACCCGAAACCCTCATAGGCCTGCTTGTAACTGCCCATGAACATCCAGGTAGGCTCTGCGGGGTGAGCTTGGAAAACAAAACCAGCGGAACAAGGAGGGAGAGCCTGAAATTTCGTCACAGCCCTCTAGACCCTTACGAAAGACTTCGTATCGCACTACCTCTCCCTCCATACAGTAAGGTATACTTTAGGGTTTAGGGCTTAGGGCTTTAGGCTGTAGCGTTTACTCATTTGTTCAAGCGTTTTTGGCTCTCTGGATCGCGAGCTAACTAGGGCTTTGCAAATGCTTCTAAGTCACCATCGCACCGTTCTCTGACGACTTCTCATCGATCATGTCCTCGTGATGACAAGGAGAGACAGGGTCCGAGACCCTAAACCCTAAACCCTAAACCTCTAAGCCCTAAACCCTAAACCCTAATCCCTAACCCTTAACCCCTAAACCCCACGTTTTCAATTGTTCAGTGCTTGGGCCTGCGGGTTTCGAGCAGTTGGGGTTCGAAGTTGNNCCCTAATCCCTAACCCCTAAACCCAAAGCCCTAAACCCTGAACCCTATCGGCCCAAAACCTCTGCTGTTCCGTAGGCTCCGGCGTCGGGATGTATAGGTGAACTGGGTTTAGGGTTTAGGGGTTTAG